CAGAGAGAGAAAGAGTTGTGACTTGAGACTTGACGACATTGGATCCAGACTCGACATTTGGGATTCAGACATTTTGACGAGGGACTATTTGGGCCTGTGCCGAAGACTTGGTGTTGACGACATTCCCATCTTCCCCTCCTCTTCGTCTAACCCCCTTCTTCTTCGTCTGTGTATGGTAGGGGCTGGCATAGTCTTCCTGTGTGAAGCGCCAGACCCCATTCACACCATGTAACGATGATGATGGTGTATATTCAGGGCTGCATTGCAATATTGATTTTTCGGATCATTGGTATCTAAGTCTTCCGCTACGCCATCTTGTACTTTGTATTGAGAGGTCGGTTCTTGTTCTGGTCTGCACCGTTACAGTATGCAACAGTTTGGTATCGAAGCGGACCTCTCATTCAGAGGACCCGCTCAATCAAGTAGCCAGCTTGCTTGATCTATTGATCACTCATTAGTAAATCAAGTAGGACTTCGTCAAATCTCTGGAAAAAAAAAATTCTCGCAACAACTATCTGAAAATTTCTGATATTCGCATTTCGTTTTACCTGAAAATTTCTAGAATTGGTATTTCGTTTTCACGTAACAAATATCTGAAAATTTCTGATAAATCGCATTTCGTTTTGTCTGAAAAATCCCGATAGTAGCATTTCGTTTCTCTGATATTTTGCATACATAGCTGAAATTTCTGATGTTAGTATTTCGTTCTCTAGGCACATTGGGATAACGATAGAAGTGGTCATATTCTCGGAAAGTGGAATTATTCTTTTCTGAAAATCAAATTTCCATTCTATCTCGCAAATTTTTTTTGGAAACCAAAATCTTGCGAAGCCTACCAACATTTCGATAGGCATATTCGGAGGTTGCCATATTCTCAGAAACGGGATTTAGTTATTTTCTGAAAATCGCATCTCTATTCTATCTCGCAATTTTTTTTTTTTCAAGATCGCATTTTGTGAAAGCTGAAACTTTGCGGAACCTAGCCTAGAGCTCGTTCATAGTACTCTTCTGACATGTCTCACGCATAACAGATCGACAGATATACAAAAAAAAAAAAGAAAAAAAAAGTCTTTTATTTTTTTTTATTTTTATCTGTTGATTAGGGCCGGGAGGAAAGTATTGTTGGGTTGTTTCCCTACCTGCGTTTTCCCTCCCCACCTACCCTTTGCATGCATTTCCGAGTTGGTACAGTGCCACGTCAGCAGTGCCACGACAGCAGTGTCACGTCAGCAACAGTGCCACGTCAGCAGTGCCACGTAAGCAATAGTGCCACGTCAGCAGTGCCACATCAGCAGTGCCACGTCGGTCACAGTGCCACGTCAGCAGTGCCACGTAAGCAACAGTGCCACGTCAGCAGTGCCACATCAGCAGTGCCACGTCGGTCACAGTGCCATGTCAGCAGTGCCACGACAGCAGTGCCACGTAAGCAACAGTGCCATGTCACAGTGCCACGTCATAGTGCCACGTCATAGTGCCACGTCAGCAGTGCCCCGCCACCATGACGGGCACAACTCTGGGCATGCCAGGCCAACTGGCCAACGAGTCTGTTGCCGACTACAAACAGCGGTTCCAGGCTCAGCTTGCTCTGATCGAGGCTGAGGAAAAGCGCCAGCTGGCAGCCCAGGCTGCCTGCCTACAGGCTGAAGCAGCGCCAACAGCTGAGAAGCAGCGGCTACAGGCCAAAGCAGACGCAGATACCCAGGCTCGCCGCAAGGAGGCCCAGGATCTGCTGCAGCGGCATGAAGCCGCCAGCATCAAAAGACTTAAGTTCTGGCACTTTGAACCGTCCAACGGCGACGACACGACACCGGAAGAGCAGCATAAGGAATTCGTCTCCAAACTCGTGACACGGTTGTTGTACGCTTGCAACTACCAACAGTCCGAGTTAGAGAGACAGAACCAGGAACTGCAGCAACAGTACCAGGATCTGAAGACACAGCACCAGGAGTTGGCGAACCTCCGCCGGATGGTGCAGAGCCACGAGGATGCTACACGGGCACTCAATTCCCGTGTACTGGACCTGGAGCACGCTGTACCAGGACCAGATGCTGGTGAGTCCAGCAGTGCACCCTCTAACCGCCAACTGGAGCAACGCGTCGACCACGTCGTCGCAATGCTCGACGACATCAGCACCTTCGCTGCGCCGACCACCATCAGCAATCAGCTGGATACTTTGAAGACCGAGGTCCAGCAACTGCAGTCAACGAACACGGATGGCAACAATCCAAAGCAATACAAGAAGCACTCGTACATCGGCGCCCTGTTCATGAACTCAAAGGGCGGATGCCAGATCTGGTTAACCCACCTGGCAGCCACCCACGGCGTCGACGTCGCAGATATGAAGGACAAGATCTCATGGGAAGAGTTAACACGGTTGTGGAAGAAGCGGTTCATCGTCGACGACGCACCAGCACTTGCCATCAACCGTCTCTTCACCATGACTCAAGGCAGCACAGCAACACGTGACTGGCTCACGGAATGGCAGAAGATCGCGGCAACGCCCGATCTTGACTTACCATTTCTGCATCTGCGCCGTGAGTTCTACAACAGGTCACGCGCTGCACTGAGCCAGGCACTTGGTGATCGCGAGCAGTATGCAACCTTCGCTGAGATCATTGACAAGGCGAGGGAGATCATCAAGACCAACAGGGCGGCTGCACACGAGAAGTCAACGTGGCAGCCAACCTATGTGGAGAAGGTGAGAACTGGTCCGCGACAGCAGCAGTTCGCTGCAGTCCAATCGGACAACACTGTGGAAGACCCGGCAGCCACCCAAGCGTCACGTGAGGGAGATCAGGTGGTTGCTGTCCAGCCGCGAAGCAACAACAAACCCCGAGTGAACGGAAAGGCGAAACCAGCATCGCAGGCCGGAAACGGACAGTTAGCACCACCATGGGTCAAGTTCAACTTGACCGAGGCCGAGTACAAGTACCGCAACCGTTACGGCTGCTGTTACTGGTGCAACAGCACCAAGCACAAGACCTCCCTTTGCCAGGATCAGGCCAAGGAGGATGTGCGGCCTCGTCTTAACTCGGGAAACTGAGTTTTGCGGGAGGTGAGGCGACTCCACCCCCCACTCCACCAGATTCGGTCGTATGCTTACGAGGACTATGCTGTCCACTTGGTCCCACCGCTGGACCAACCGCTCCACGTGCAACAATCTACCGCATGCACGGTTTCATCACCATCGGCAACCGATTCGGCAGCTTCGCCGCCATCTACCGTCGGGGATTCAACGTCATGGTCAAGACTTGAAGAGCTCGACCCGTTGACATTTGCGGACTTCCAATGGATGCCCCTTCCCCGGTTCGGTCCATTGCCAAAACCGCTTTGCAACGTGCTCAAGGCACAATTGCGGGATTACTTGCACACTGGAGTACCAACTCTGTTGATGGATGCCGGAGTAGAGGTTGTCGACCTTCACGCCTACATCGCGAAGATCGACCGCGAGTTCAAAACACAACGGTACGAGGACATCGACGCACCATTGCTATATGTACGCATTCAAATCGGAGAGGCGACCTGCAGCCTTTGATCGATTGCGGAGCATCTCGCAACTACATGAGTCAGGACTTCATGGTACGCGCCGGCCTTGGCCCACGAGTCCGAAGGAAGTCCCAACCCACGCAAGTCACGTTGGCGGACGGTCACACGCTTAAGTCAATCGACCAGTGCATTGATGATGTCCCAGTGTACTTTGCCCCTCACGCACGTGAGGCGGTGTCCTTTGACATTCTGGACACCAAATTCGACATGATCTTGGGCATGTCATGGCTGCGAAGCGAGGACCACCCGGTGAACTACCGCCGCACCGTTCACGTTCGTGATCGGAACGGAGTACTAGTCCCATGCACGGTAGCTCCTCCTCACCGTTCAGTCAGCTGTCACGTGGTATTCGTTGCAAGCATGCGAGCTTCCATCATCAGAGACGACATCGAGGAAATGGGGGTGTGTTTTCTCCACGCCCTCCCGCCCCATGACGCTTCATTGACGGACTCATCTTCGGATCCACGCATCACCGAACTTCTCAACGCCTACAACGACGTGTTCGAAGGCCCGCACGGAGTAGAACCGGATCGACCCATCCGCCACGAGATCATCCTCGAGGACGGGGCCGTACCTCCGCGCGGTTGCRTCTACCGAATGAGCGAGGAAGAGTTAAGTGTGCTTCGGGCACAACTCGACGACCTTCTGGAGAAAGGCTGGATTCAGCCTAGCTCATCGCCATACGGTGCTCCTGTTCTCTTCGTCCGGAAGAAGAACAAGGATTTGCGGTTGTGCATCGATTATCGCAAGTTCAACGCGCAGACGATCAGGAACGCCGACCCTCTCCCACGCATCGACGACCTTCTCGAACGACTGGGCGGAGCTAAGTATTTTTCCAAGCTCGATCTCAAGTCCGGATATCACCAATTCGAGATTCGGCAGGAGGACCGCTACAAGACCCCGTTTAAGACGCGATATGGGCATTTCGAATGGCTGGTTATGCCATTTGGCCTTACGAATGCCCTGGCCACTTTCCAAGCGGCTATGACAACGGAGTTCCGACACATGCTGGATCGATACGTACTTATCTACCTCGACGACATCCTGGTGTACAGCCGGAGTTTGGAGGAGCATGTGGAACACCTGCGCACCGTTTTGGAGCGGCTACGACAAGCCAAGTACAAAGCCAACCGCGACAAGTGCGAATTCACGCGGCAGGAGCTGTAGTACGGACGTTCGTTCATTCATGGGATTGGCGGGCTACTATCAACGATTCATCATCGGATACTCGAGGATTGCTGCACCTATGACGAGATTACAATCGCCAAAGGTGCCATTCGTATTCGATGACGACGCACGCCGGTCATTCCAAGCACTTAAGACGGTTATGCTCATGGCACCCGTCCTTAGCATCTATGACCCCACCCTGCCGACGAGAGTGACTACGGACGCTTCCGGCTATGGCATTGGGGCAGTCTTGGAACAACACGACGGCGACGACTGGCACCGTATGGAGTATTTCAGCCACAAAGTGCCTCCCGTCAACTCGCTTGATGATGCAAGGAAGAAGGAGCTGCTCGCATTCGTCATGGCTCTCAAGCGATGGCGGCACTTCCTCCTTGGGCGTCGTAGGTTCACATGGGTTACAAACAACAATCCATTGACCTACTACAAGACGCAGGATACGATGAGCAGCACGATTGGACGRTGGATGTACTTCATCGACCAATTTGACTTCACACCGAAATATCTTCCCGGCCTCTCAAATCGCGCAGCAGATGCACTCTCGCGAAGACCTGATCTTTGCGCTATGACACATCATGCCTTCGCATTCGACGAGGAGCTTCAGCGACACTTCATCAGGGGCTACGAGTCCGATCCAAATTTCGCCACGCTATATGCGCAACTATCTTCGGATCACCCACCGGCCAGCTACTATCGCATCGCCGATGGGTACTTGCTCCTGCACTCGCGAGGCAAGGTTTTACTACGTGTCCCACGCGACCGTCGTCTTTGGACTCGCCTCCTCGACGAGTATCATGATTCGCGACTCGCCGGCCATTTCGGAGTGGACCGCACTATTGCACGGCTTCGACAACAATTCCGATGGCCCAACCTCATCACCGATGTCACGAGGTATTGCGACTCTTGCGAAGTTTGCCGACGAAGCAAACCCCGCAACCGCAACCCCTACGGCGAGCTGCACCCGATGCCGATCCCGCAGGAACCCGGTCTCTCCATTGCCATGGATGTCATCTGACCATTCCCCCGCAACCGCCTCAGACACGACAGCATCCTCACGGTCGTGGACCGATTGAGTAAGTACGCGCGGTTTCTCCCTTGCAAGTACTACTCCACGGCTCCCGAGATGGCACGCCTCCTGCACACCGGCTGGATTTGCGGCCATGGTGTACCGGAAGACATAGTCAGCGACCGCGACACTCGCTTCATGGCGGCATTTTGGACTGCACTCATGCAGGAGTTCGGCATGAAGATGAAGCCAAGTTCGGCTCGGCATCCACGGACAACCGGGCAGATGGAGCGGGCACATCAAACCGCTCAAATGATGCTTCGTACGCTCACCCGCCTCCCCGATATTGAGTTCGCCTACAACACTTCGGTGCACCCGGCGATCGGCATGACTCCATTCGAGTTGCACCACGGTGGACGGAAAGGCCGTATCTTCGCCGACCTTCTCCTCCCACGACCAGCCGACATCGATGCCGCTTGCTCTCCCGCTTCCGTCCGGAAGTACAGGGAATTGCTGGCTCAAGCTCGCGCGAATATGCAAAAGGCTGAAGTTCGCATGCAGCAGCAAGCCAACAGGCATCGCGTGCCATGTCCCATCCGCGCCGGCGACCTGGTTTGGGTTTCCGCGGAAGAGTTTGCACTGGAACA